AGATTTTGGCTGCTTGGTGGCAAAGAGACACTTCTGCAACAAAGCAGTAAGTGTTGCTTTTCATATAATGGTGTTGAATTGGAAGTAATGTGTACAGTGTGCAGAAGAGTTTCAAGGAAAAGGCCAGTAGGAAAATTGAGTCCTACTTTACTGAGTGAAGCAATTGCCAAGTATGTACTTCTGGAGGAATTTGTCTGTGGTTTGGATTTATAGGTCCTTGTCTTTTCTCTCCCTCTAGAAGTAAGAACTCCATCATTCTTGGGAGCCTTATTTATAATTTCATAAAGTTGTTCTGTGACAGGACTTATTTTACCCAGCATGCTGAATCTTTCTCAAATAAGAGTGCACCCAAAGAGTGAGTTTACAGTTGGGAAAAGAAAGATTCAGCACCTGCCATTTTGTGTAGAACAAAAGAGCAAAGGTTGTGGGTCTAATTCATAAACTACAGCTTTGGGTGCTTGGAAGTACTGAACAGGAATGGAGTTGACTTGAGCAGGTCTTGTCACGCCATCCCAACTTTCTTTATGCTTTACATCCCACACCAGTAAGTACAGTGTAATGAACAAAGATGTAGAACCATCACAGTAGTGAGACTGAAGAGGCCTTTAGAGTGAATAATTAGGAGGAGGTGATTACAGAACTAATAATTCATGGAAAGGAATGGGGAGCCAATTCAGTGAAATTGAAGGAATGTGAAGGTAAATATGCCCATAAATCCTCCAGAGTGGACTCAGATTTTAGCACTTTCTCCTACCCTGGTTTTATTCCAAGGCAATTTCATTAAACACTATAGAGAAGGAGAGGAAAAAATAATAATATAAATGCCATAAAAAATCTTTCAGAGGAAGGAATAAAACAGGTTCCTGCCAAGGAGAGATTTTATTGAAAGTTATTATAATACCTATCTTTAGTTTTATGACCTTTAATACAGAGGCAAGTAATTTCAAAGCTGGGATGCTTTAAAAATGAAATACATATTTTTAAAATAGTATAGTATGAATTATTATTTTTAATATAGATTTTAGCTAATATATGTGATAGAAAAATATTTTCTCTCTTATATTCTTTCCAATGAAAACACAAATATCTTTTCCATCATAGCATATGGAGACTTTTCATAACTATCATGTTGCCTGTATGTAAGAATGTTTAGCGTATACTATCTCTAGCTCACTGGGCAGACACTAAAGAATTCATCTGTTTACCTCCCCTGAGGCTAACAGGTGAATATAATCAGCCCTATTTAAAAAATGGGAAAAGGGAACCAGAAATGGAATAGCTGGTTTTGCTTACTGTCTCACAGTGAGCTGTTTCTGATGTAAGAAATAATGTCTTGTGGAAGCAGCAAGTTTAGTAATCACCCAGTGAAAAATATGAGCTCCAGAAGGATTTTGAAAGGTACAGATTCTAGTTACAAGAAGTTATGATCTTCTGGGGGTTTCCTCAACTGAGTTTCTGTGGTCAGGAATTTGCTGCTGTCTCTCACTGAAATAGCTTTATTCCTCTGGGCTGATTCAGTTGTTGGTATGTGAGTGGAGGGTGCATGGAAAACCAATAAGTGATGGACCTAGAAAATCAGTTAGTGATAAACTGTGATGGAAAGTACTGAGATTAAAAATACAAGATAGGAAATGGCAAGACAGATTAGTGTACTTATCTGTTCTGTGGTTTCTAGAGATCTCATTAATGACCTTGATTTAAGTTTAACACCACTTCTGGAGGTTTTCTCTTTTTCTAACCCTCATTTTTATACATACAAAGTCAGCAGCGTCAGACAAGCAGCAATTACAGAGCGAGAAAACCTGCAATATTAGGGGAAATAGCATGCAGTGGATATGGGGAGAAAAGGACAGACATTAGTTGATAGAATCAAGTATGGAACTAGTTATGAAGAAGTGCGGATATGGGTTGGAGTTGTTAGGGCTGGTCAGTATTGCACATCTCACATTTGCATTTTGCCTGAGTCTGGTGGTCTGTGCCCTTCTGCATTCAGAGCCATCACAAGCTGCTGAGAATTTTGTAGAAGGAAATCTAGAACACATATCTGAGTGCAGCACAAATACAGTGTGTGCTGTCCTTTAGCTGCTTGTTAGATAGGAAATTGATCAAGAAGACAAACAAGGGCCAGGCTTCATGACTTTCCAGCTCCCACTCAGAAATCATCTTGGCCTTAAAATTTTTCATCCCCCAATGTCCAGAACCTGTCACACATGAGAGTGTCTGGGAGGCTGCAAAGGCTCATCTCACTCAGAGCTCTGCTGCTGGCCCTGACCATGCAAGGTGAGAGTCCTAACACAACAATGCAAATAGTGGTAATTCCTTGGTCTTCAGTGTCTGGGGCACAGGGACTTCCCAAGCTAGACATCAGGTATTTAATAGCTCTGAATGGAGGGGTTTTTTTACCTTTACTTTGGCCAATCACTTCCAAAGTGCATCTAAACCTTCATTAATGTTGCATGAAGCCCTTAGATATGAGCAAGTAAGTGGGTAAGTGGATAGGTATAGCAGTTGGTGACAACCACACATCTTTCTAATTACTTCCTACTTATAGCAAATCATCACTATTTTTCTGTGAGTCCCTACTTTTGAATTGTTAGATCTTTGAAGTTCTAACAAGAGCAATATCCATATGCTCTAAAAATTCATCTCAGAAATCAAAACCAATTGCAAGGGTCTTCACACTGCCTGAGCAAGGTCTCCTAGTAGTGATGGATAATTTATTCTTTATTCATAGTGCCATTCTTATCACTTCTACAAGTGCTTTAGACAACTGTAATATAAATCTCTCGTTTCACTAGTGACATTTCACCTGCTTTAAAAGAAATTCTTGCAGTGTAGTTTTGTTACTGTGCTAAATTACATTTACACTGGTGCAACTAAAAACTATTCTTTCCACCCAGGAACAGCTGCATTTCTCTGTTGGAGGATGTGAATTGCAGAAAGTAAATTTATATTTTGTGCATTCCTCCTGTCTTGACCTCTTGCTGAACTGACAAAGTTTTCAAAGACGTTTTGTTTTAAGAGACAAGTCACTAGGATCTCAACAGTGTTCTGTTTTCTATGGCTGAAAGAAGATGCTAAATAAATGACCCTAGCATGTAAGGTGGAAAATTGCTTTGTACACATTACCTTCAATTCCTTTTAATCTCCCCACTGAAGTAACATTATAAAAGTATTTTAAGAAAATATTTAAGCATGAGACTACTGCAGGATTGCATCCTACATAACATCGCCAAGTGGCAATGCTGGGGTACAACTGAGTAACACATATGATAGGGATTCCCTAACTTCAGGGCTGGTTTTTTACAGCTACTCTATTTTTAGTATTTTTATTTACAGCTGACCGATTGTATTTTTCATTCTTGGCTCGCTCTAAGCCACTGAAATTAAGAGTGAAGGAATGTCAGATTCAATCTGATCTTTCTGTCTGACTGCTCAGTTCTGTTTTTTTCCTCAGCTCAAATACAGAGTGGTGGAGAGCAAAGGACCTTCAGGCAGGGGACAAAAGGACCTGCTAGAACTAGACCACAGGAGGCTAAAGAAAAGGCTGAGACCTTAGAGCATGGATGTACTAGAAAAAAAAGATAACATGCAGCATGTTGGAGACAGCTGCAGCAGACATAGAAATATAAAGGAGAGCTTGTTTAAAGCTAGTGAGTCTTTTTCAGGAATAAGAATTTGGAAAGCTTGTTACAATGTGAGATTCCAAGGAATACTCACCTGCAGTACTAAAGTACAGTGTACTGAAGTAAAGCTGCTCTGCTCACAAGGAGCTGACATTTCAGCAGTGCTTCCTTCCTGGTGAGGAAAATTTCAGTTGGTTTGTTTCAGCAGTCATGTCCCTGATCCTACTGCTCAGCAGAAGAGGCAGCTCTCTACAACAAAATTTGTTAAGGGAGACAATTCATGATGCTGCTGAGCTAGGGTAATTTTGTACTGTGTGCATGAACGTTACAACCTGTGTCCAGAGGCTGCCACAGGCTCTCCCTAATGGTCTGCATTACTAATTCAACTAATTGCAGCAATTACAGGCAGGAGATGCTGCTGGGAAGAGATGCCAGTACACTTCTCTCTAACATGCTGCAGTACACGTTGCTCATTAATTAGACAAGCAGGGGAAAAAAAAAAAAAAAAAGAAAGAAAATATCACCAGCTGGAAATGCAAAGGAATGTGCTGAAACCTGTAAGAGCTATGAACAGTCAGTTTGGTTTAAGCCTTTCAGAATCAGACTTTCTAGTCTGTCAGCCCAGTTGCAGCCACATCTCTGTTCACTTGGCAAGCAAGCAGGTGAGGTGACTATTTGGCATACCTGACACATGTAGCAGTTCTTCATCATGCAACAAATGGTTTGCACAGATATTTACTATCTGGGTAAACACAAAGGAGTCCCAGCCCAAGAGGTGCATTAGCAGAGCAGGAATTACTTCTGCCTCAGGGTGACATGCCTAACACCACAGCAGAGAGTACTGCTAGCTGCCTGGATGATGCACAGCCTGAGTCTATCTGGTACATTTTTCTTTGCAGAATGAACGTTCAGCCTGAACATGCTTCATTTGGTGAGTCTCTTAGTAGGTGGCTGCTGGCTGGCCCTAGGTAGTATTGGTATTTATCGAGTAGCCCAGCATGTTCTGACCAGACACGTCTGCTCTGGCTGTAGGAGGACACTTGCTAGCCCAGGAGGTGTCGTAACCCACTGTACTTGCTGTGTTCCACCTGCTCCCCTAAACAGCCCAACAGGCACCTCACACCTGGGCATGCCTGAATTATTCAACAGCACAAGTTAATCACTACTCCTCTGACAGAGACTCCAGCTCCATTTGGGGAGCTTTTACACAGGCGTATCTGGAATGCTCAGTTCAAGTTAAATATTTTAAAACTTACAATTCTGAAGCAACTTTTCTTCTAGAATACTTGGCTGCCTCTGTAACATCCTCTTGACTTGCAAGCATCTTATTTTTGTTCCCTCCGTTCTTTTTCCTTTGTTTCTTTCACACACCAGACAACAGATGACATCGTTTCATCAGCTGAATGTTCCAGTGATGATGAAGATTTCATTGACTGTGAGCCCAGTACAGGTAAGTCAGGTCAGTCATTTTTTGCTTGCTTTCTGATTTCATTTGCAAAAAACAATGCATACATATATTTATATGTGTGTGAATGTATACATATATAATTATATATGTATATATGTGTGTGTATATGTGTATATATATACATTTTTATATATATACACTGTCTATAAAATAAAAATTATACAGCCAAGCATCAGATCCCATGGACTTGGCAGCTGCAAAATGCATATATGTAGTCACTATTTGGTTAACTTAAAGTTGTTTGCATGGAAAGTCAAACTTCCTGGAAGTGATCCCAGCTAATACATGGTTCACGTATTTCTAGCAATTACTTCACTGACACAGTGTGAAAGCAAAAATGTCAATGTGGCACGTGGCAAATAATGAAGATTTATGAAGTGGGGAGGATGGATGTTCAAAAAACAGAAGTGAAACAAAAGTGAAGCAATAATGAGTTAATAGCATTGCTTAATCTTTCTTAACTGCTCTGAAGATGGACTGTAAAAGGATAGATTTGTCCATGGGATTTTGAATACAGTTAACATGGTAATGTATTTATACTAATTTTGTTTCCTGTGAGCCCAAATAAATTGGGGAGCACCGAAACACAGTTCTAACATAACAAAATTAGTAGTAACTCTTGCCCTGTTATCTGCAGTGATGCTTCAAAATGTATCCATTAAAGAGTCAGAAGGACTGGCCATGTGGAACTGACTCAACTTCTCCCTTTCAGATACATTTTGATAAATTGATGGCTTTTCTTTCTGGTGAGATATATGATGTGTTATTCAGCAGGCAACTGCAGTCTATTTTATTTCTTACAGGCTTTTTCAAGTCTTCTTTTTTGAGGCGTGCCATGAGTTAAGCATTTCTATAATAGAGAACAGACATCATCGAATTTCTGTGTACATATAAAAGAAAATGAAGGAGTTTGGTTAGAATTTTTTTTCCTTATAAGGGAAACATTAATAGTTTAGGGTTGGTTTTTTTTGTTTTGGTTTTGTTTTGTTTGGGATGATTGTTTTTTTCTTTAAAAAAAAATCCCATGACAGCATTATACATGTTCTGTTTCTAGTTTCCTGAAGCCATTTGATTAATACAATAGTAACATTTTAAATCACCCAAGGCTAGTGCTTTCATATTTATTTTCAATTTGTCATGCTGTACTTGCATTTTTTTGTAGAACTTGGTCTTGAGATTGGCATTGTCTTGTAGCTGGGAACTTCCACCTGTACTCTTGACTTCCCTGTGATGGCAGGGAAGGCAGTGAAGCAACAACTGATGCTAACAGATAGCTCAGGCTCAGCCTACTCCCATGTTCTTCCACAGAACTCTGATTTTGTCAACTCGTCACTTGGCAGAAAAGCAGTCCAAATAATATTAGATTGTGAAGCATAAATAGTGTGGGTATCATGAAAGTGAGACATGAGATTAATAGGACCATGCTAAAAGGACTAATGTACCACAACTGATATATAAGTGAATGAATAGGAAACATTTCTTTAAAGCTTCACTAATGTTTCAATACTTCATTTATTTATTTTTATGCTAATTGCAAGTATTAAAGGAGGAAAAAAATCTCTATCAGACTCCTCTTCTAGTACATTCTTGTAATTTATTTTTCAGAAATCACAATAACTTCAATGGCTAGAAACTGTAATAGTAATGTTTTCAGCTTGTGCTGCCAATGAAAAAATCAAAGTTTGATGAAAAATTTGGTAAAGCATGATGTTTATATGAAATTTCAGAGTGCTTTACAGCAACAGTTTCAGACTAAAAATAACTCTCTCCTGACACAGTCAGAAATGTAATGCTAAAAACAGGTACAAACTGGATTTGTAAACATTACTTGCCTTTGCAAATCCTGCTAAGCACTTCAGTTGGCACCTATAAGTGCCTACAGACATTTGAATGTCTGCTGTGTAAAATAACAGGGTTAGCTGAAAATCTGCTGAAGGTACTCTCCTAACCTTTGAGACATTCTGGAATATTTTACCCAGTATCTTTTATCACACCCTAGTCCTCCTTCATAGGATGGGGCCCTCATGAGCCACTGAAATCTTAATCTTTTCTTGGGAATTACTGTGGCATTGAGAATAGAAGTTAGCTTGATGTGTAAAAAAGTCTCCCGGATGGTCCTTGCTGATGAAATTTACACTTCCAGGTTTTGAGTTTTATGCAGGTTCTTCTAGCCTCCAAAATCATGAGCTTAGTTTATTCTATCATAATAAAAAGGAAAAGTAACAGGTTTGTGGTGCTCCTCATTTTGCTTTCTTTGTCTATCCTACTGTCTCCATTCCCAGTGTATCCAGGGAAGATAGAACGGTGTCTGCAATACAGCCGGTATCAAAGCACTCACACAGCCCATTCTGCTCTGGAGCACTAAAGCAATCTCAGCTGGCATATAAAAAACCACTGGTGTTGGCTTGGCTGAGCAGATATGTTTGCCTTTACACTTCACCAGCCATGTCAAGAGTCTGGCCATATGCCAAAATCTGGTACTTAAGTGTATACATCATGGAAAGAAAAATTCCAGATTATCTTACTTGTATTTTCTAGTGTGTGCATTTGGATTTTATTTTAAATTTCATTATTATTTTTTTACTTGGGCCCATTTGAAGTTGCTTCATCCTGTTTTGTTGACAGATCAGTGTATTTTACACTGCCTTCTGATTTGCCTGATCCTTTTTGCAGCAAATTGAAAATTAAATGCCCTAACCCAGCACAGTCTCCTTTTTGTTGCTCTGATGATGTGTAGCTTTTAAAGCTCTTGAGTTTCTGCCAAACACCAGGACTTGGCTTCCATCACCCTCAGTACCATGGTCCAGTACTACAAAGGTTACTGAACTCACTGCTGCAGCTGTGAGATATGATATACATCACTAGGAACCTGCTGTGCAATAACCACAACAAGGGCAGCAGAGAATGTTGCTCAGCAAATCAAAAGCTTTCAGATTTCATATAGGCCAGAATCAAATCCCAAGATCTAAATATATTACTTTGGTTTTGTTCCTGGATTGGAGAGAGTAGTCTACAGAGTCCTTTTGAAAACTTTGGTTTTGTTATACTCAAAGATAGTTTAAAGGATAGAAAATCATATCCTCTTTGAGAGTAAGCATCATAACTACTTGCAAGGTTTTATTACCACTTAACTCTGTCTGTTGAATTCAAGACTTCAATCTCAGTAAGCACATGAGCAGCATCTGGATACTTGCATCTCTTTAAAAGATGACAGTGTAAAGGCAATTTTCTTACTTTGCTCCTCTCAGGATTTTCCTGGCTAGGTTGAGACACTCACTGTAGCATGCTGGCAACCACTCCGTGCCCCTTTTCCAGAAGTGATTTCTCTTGTGATTTCTGTAGATCCTCTTGTTTAAGAGCCAGGAGCTGTCACAGGACCTGTCCTGATTAAGGTAGCCTGCAGGCACCCCCACAGACCCATATGTGTGCCTAAGGAATTACTCTAACAAGTGGTGGTAATTACAGCTGTGAAACCAAAACCCATCTGTATTTTGTATAATGAAAAAGAACCCATTTCAGGTTCAGGAATAAAAAATACTTGCTATTAATCTTATTGCAGACAAATCTAGATACCCTTACTACCTCTCCCGATCTCCCAGAATGGCTCACTGTAAATGATACAGGAGGCATAAAACTGTTCGTCTGGTCTGAAGAAGCATTTATTTACAGTTAAGAGCAGTCTCTCTCTTATCACTTGTCACTTGTCCCAGGACATTTTCAAAAACCTTCTCTTTTCTGTGCCAAAACCATGTTTTTCTCTGGTATGAATACAGAACTCTCTTCTGGCCAGTTCCAGGGAGATCTGATGTTCAAATATTCAGATTCCTTAACCCTGAAGCCAGAGTCCTGAGGCTGTGCTTTAGAGCACAGCTCTGTGGTGGTGTTCTGGTCACTCAGCCTCTCTCAGCAAATGAAACATTTGTAAGGGAAATATCTTTACTCCTAAGTAGGAGGCACCGTGAAGGAAGAAAGCATTTATCTCTTTCCAGTTGAATGAGGAACACCCCTACAATCTGATTTCATTGAGACTTCAAAGCCTTGAGGATTATAGTTATACTTTCCTGACAACAGCTGCTGCTGTCTTGTCATACCATTTCCCTTGTCCCCATTCAGCACATCCACCAGTGCAGTGCTCTGGCACCAGACAGGCTGGATGCTGGTGGCTAGGAAGCTGATGGGGATCATAGACCAAGCTGCTCATTGCACTAGTCAAAACAGTAGGACCCAAACACTCACTGGTTAGCCTGAAGCCCATAATGCTACCTCTTGAAAAGGCCTGTAGGCCTTAATTTTAGCTCCTTGGCTTGAGCTCGGTTACCCCCAGTCTTTCCCTCTGTCAAGCAGGAGTTCATTTGATGGAATTTCCTAGCTACAGTCTTACAGCCAAAATAAAACCAATTTAACAAGTTTTACTAATCAATCATGCAGATGACTTACAGGAATTTTTGTTTTCTTTTTTTTAATATTAAGAATTTATACTCAGTTTGGTTTTCAGCATATTGGTCTTTTTACTGTGTAAGCATCAAAGGGACCACCCATGAGGATATTTTATCTATATATGCACTACACATACAGTGTGCATATATGTCTATATGTGTATATGCTTAATAAATGACCAATATTAGCAGTAGCCCCTGTCATCCAGTCACATGTTTACACAGAAATTCATGCCTTCATCTAACCCTGGCATCCACTGGTGTGGACAGATGCATGACATTGTTATTTCTTGGTGAACAAAGCATGTTGGGTTTTTTTTGTTGTTAGATTTTTTTCTTTATTCCTTTTATTTATTTGTTTTCTTTTAATTGATAGTTTCATCTACCAATTAGCCTTGGGGTAGGGTGGGGCAGGGAGAATATAAAAATTATACAGGTATATCCATCAATATATACACACATAGTTAGTGTATATATAGATAGATATATACTTTGTATATATTTGAAGAACATTTTCTGTCGTTTCACCTCATCTTGTGCCGCATGAATTTTTGG